CAACTGAATCTTCATTGATTCCAAGATATTCTGAACAAGCATTCTGTACTGTGTTGTGAAATAAATCCTCTGGCCATTCTTCATATTCCTCTTCAGGGTCCAGTGGAGACACAACAAATTCTGGAGCTTCATCAGGATCATCCAACTCACCACAATTAATGGCCTCAATTCTACTATGAATTTCACGTACTTTAGTTCCAGGGTAGAAGGAAATGCTTTTCTTTTTTTGCAAGCTATTTTCAGTTGAGGTAGTTTTTTCTTGCTCGTCTAATTTTAAGATGGAATGAACTGAATCTATTTCTGGAATGGGTATTGTATTTGTTACTTCCTCAGGATTTTCATATTCATATTCGAAGACACCTCTTAATTCACGAGTGTCTTCAACATAGTGATCATCATCAGAATCAGCAATATTAGGTTGTTCACTCGTCCTTGGAATGAATTCAATTTTCTCATCAGATTGGTAAAAATCTTCAGAGTCAATTTGGTTTCTTTCATTTACTTCATGTTCATCTAAATTTCTTTGTTTAAAGTCTTCAGGCACAGGGTATTCAGATTCTACATAATTATACTGGGGACCATCATCATAGTAATCATATTCTTCATCTGAATAGCAATAATCTTCTTGCAAAGATTCATCCAAACCACCGCTCTCTTCCTTTTCTCTTTGCATTCTAATTGACTCTCGAACTGTATCCTCATTGATTCCAAGATATTCTGAACAAGCATTCTGTACTGTGTTGTTAAATAAATCCTCTGGCCATTCTTCATCTTCCTCTTCAGGGTCCAGTGGAGACACAACAAACTCTGGAGCTTCATCAGGATCATCCAACTCACCACAATTAATGGCCTCAATTCTACTATGAATTTCACGTACTTTAGTTCCAGGGTAGAAGGAAATGCTTTTCTTTTTTTGCAAGCTATTTTCAGTTGAGGTAGTTTTTTCTTGCTCATCTAATTTTAAGATGGAATGAACTGAATCTATTTCTGGAATGGGTATTTTATTTGTTACTTCCTCAGGATTTTCATATTCATATTCGAAGACACCTCTTAATTCACGAGTGTCTTCAACATAGTGATCATCATCAGAATCAGCAATATTAGGTTGTTCACTCGTCCTTGGAATGAATTCCATTTTCTCATCAGATTGGTAAAAATCTTCAGAGTCAATTTGGTTTCTTTCATTTCCTTCATGTTCATTTAAATTTCTGTGTTTAAAGTCTTCAGGCACAGGGTATTCAGATTCTTCATAATTATACTGGGGACCATCATCATAGTAATCATATTCTTCATCTGAATAACAATAATCTTCTTCCAAAGACTCATCCAAACCACCGTTCTCTTCATTTTCTCTTTGTATTCTAATTGACTCTCGAACTGTATCCTCATTGATTCCAAGATATTCTGAACAAGCATTCTGTACTGTGTTGTGAAATAAATCCTCCGGCCATTCTTCATCTTCCTCTTCAGGGTCCAGTGGAGACACAACAAACTCTGTAACTTCATCAGGATCATCCAACTCACCACAATTAATGGCCTCAATTCTACTATGAATTTCACGTACCTTTGTTCCAGGGTAGAATGAAATGCTTTTCTTTTTTTGCAAGCTATTTTCAGTTGAAGTTTTCTCTTGCTCATCTAATTTTAAGATGGAATGAACTGAATCTTTTTCTGGAAGTGGTATTTTCTTTGTTGCTTCTTCAGGACTTTCATATTCATATTCAAAAATACCTCTTAATTCACGAGTGTCATCCTCATAATGTTCAGCATTAAATTCCAAGGGTGTGCACTTGCCAACCTCACCTTGTGACTGCTTG